AAATTGCTCAGTACGATGGTTATGACAGGTTTGAATTCTCTCATAGCTACTCCAAAGTATACACACAGCGAGCACCTTACCACCCCGACGGGGTCTTCATGTCCTTCGAGGGCTACAACGTAGAGGTTCGAGACAGAGTGAAGTGCATAAGTGGTGTTGAAGGTTTGTGTTGAGTATTTTATGGTTTTTTTAATAGTTTAAATGCTTCCTAAAACTTGCTGCTGTCATTTGAGATGCAAACTGATCTTAATTTTGTCCTGTTACTGTCGATACCACCCACTAACTGAGAAACCAGGCACAGTCTGTGCTTCGTACCAGGTTTACCAGCTCCCGTCCTGTGTCTCTGGTCTTACTGGTTGCAGCAGACTCCGGAGGTGCCGGGACACTTCTCTTACAGTGCCGCTGTCAGGCTTTGGCATTGACGTTGGCACTTGTCATCTCTGTCAGGGAGCCAAAATTATTTTCAAATATAAAATTAAATATAAAAGCCTGGTCCTGCTGTCTGAGGAGGCTCCTGCTTCCCTGCAGGCACAGACAGAGCCCCCGGCTCTGAGCCAAACGGCACTGCCAGCACCTGTGGAACAGCCTGGCTGCTCGCAGGCAGCTCGATTTCGGATAGTTGTCTTCAGCTTTAACAACATCCCATCTCCTGGCATCGCTGGGACCATGCTGGAGATACAGCAGTCGAACCTTCCCTGCTGGGCTGCTCCAGAGCAAGCAGGGAGGGTTTTGCTTAGCAACACGGGATTAGCTCTTGCCAAAACTCATCCTGTGCAAGGATCCGGGTAAACTGGCGTCACCGCACCACCGTGCCCGGGGCAGGCAGGGCATCACCTCGCCTCATCCTGCAAATAGGTGCTGCTGCCTGCAGCAAGGTGAGGAGGTTTTGGAGGGCTGCTCAAGGGTCAAAAAGCTCTCCAGCCACTGAAACGTCCCTGGATAAAATTAATATACGGTAAAACCTTTCCAGTTTGCACTTCTGCTAAACCGTGCGATCGGTAATTAGTACGCAAGGTCTTCCGGTGTCTTGGCAAAGATTTGATTGCAGAAAATTCCTGTCGGGTTTCATATTAAGAAATGAATGACTTTCTCAAACTATTATAGAATGTGACACTACGACCCCTCATAAATTAAAGACCAACTTTCACTTAAGGAACAAAATACATTAATTTTCATGCATCTCGGTGATCGGTGATGTGCTGCTGTGTTGATATGAGCTCTACACGTGATACGGTCACGGCAGAAAGCTGGCATGTCTTGCAATTAATTTGCCGTAAAAGATTCACATAAACAAATGCATAGGGTACGTCAGAGTTTTTTTTTAAGATTACTCTCACATTTTTATTATTTTTTAACTCTCATCCTCGTTACATCTGCCAAGGAAGGGTAACATGGCTCTGAAACTGAGGGCTTTCCCGAAGGTGCAAATGCATCCTGGTAACTACGCATCCACTACAAGTGAGCATTGCCCTGCTCAGGGTTTACATCCACTGTGAGAGGCTGAGGAGATGGCTTTCCTTTCTAATTGCCACAGTCATTGCTGATTAAATACAGCTTGTGAATAATAGCCATGGGTGCTGGTTTTGTTGTTGGGGGGTGGGCTTGGACCTAGGTCTGGGAGCCCTACCAACTTTTGTACGAAATGTGGAAGATGCACAAGATTCCCATTGCAACTGGGCTCCGCAGTTCTCATGATGTTCTTCAGCAAAAAGCTGAAATTCAGTAAGAACTAATGGAGAACCAGGACGGATTCTGCCGCTTCTTGCCTTGGCAGATGTGTGTGCTGGGGACACGAGGCGCTGTGCGTAGCTGCTCTTTGCTTAAGCCTTGAGAGACCAGCGAGTTTAACACTCGACAGTGTGGTTATTCGTCCATAACCCTTGCTTTTTTGCAGCCTGTGAGTTCAGAGCTGTCATTATGAAACATGGTGCCAGAGCCCGAGTTTTGTAAAGGCAATAGAGTTATTGGCATCCAGCAAACAGGTCGGAGAAGAGAAATAGTTGTAGTTCGTAGGGAGGGGATTTTAGTATTAAAACAGATTCTCAGACAGTTTCAGGCTCTTGCCTTGCATCGTTCCAGCCCTAGAGATTCTCGTATTGCTGCATGATGGAAAAAAAACCTCGTGTTAGATTTTCACCTTTTCTCTTTGTGCAAGGTTAATGTGTTGTTATGTCCTATGATCTGGAGAATTTAATCTTGTCATCTTGTATAAATTTCAAGTAAAGGTCTGATAGCAGATTTCTTTTTTTTGCATCTTTCAGTCTCAGTGAATGCACCCTTAACTGAAAATGCTTAGCATTAATGAGCGAGCTGGCTTCCAGGAGTTGAGATAATACGTGGTATTTAAATAATTCCTGCGATGGTTTTCTCTTTAGGCAGCAGTAAACCGTCACATCTCCATCAGTAATATTTATTAGTAACACAAAGCACCAAAATATGTATGAAAATGTATCTTTTTATATTTAGTTTAAGGCATATTTTCATTTTGCCAGATTTCAGAAGAAATTGGTTTCTGAGCTTGACATCGCCAAGGGGGAGAACGGTGCAAATGCCAACTTGTTTATTTTCATCTTTTTTTCTTTTCTTACGTGCATGCAAAGGTTTGCAGTACTAAGTATCTTTGGTTTCCCGCAAGAGGGTCTTAGTGATCTATTCCCACTTTGGATTCATAATTAGAGGCTGGGAATTTGTTCCAAGTAAGATTCAGGACTTCAGCAGAATTCTGGTTTCATCCATATCTTAAGTATCCTGTGTTTGCTTTCTTACGGAGGTATGTGTATAAATAAGTCTCCTCCGCACAGCTTGTTTTCATTTCCCACGCAGCCAGTGATGCAAGAGGCAGTTTCTGGCCCGAGGGTTTTTCCACCCGAAGCCCGAGGCTGCAGCTCCTGGGAGCTGGTGAAGGACAGGCAGAGGAGAGCCTGGAGCTCAGCAGGGTTTTCTGGAGGTGCAGCTCTGCTAACGATCGTAACGCAGGGTGGAAGTTTTATATCGAGCATGGCTATGTGACATTGGATGAGCTCATTCGATGGGTTTTGCATGTGAAATGCTATGTGTCAGGCTACAGAAGATGCACTCTGTGATCTTCCTGCTTTGAATCCTCTAACAAGGTGGGGTTCTTCTGGTCCGTGCAGACTTTTAAATCTAGAATCACCCTAAGCCTAAATTAAGAGTGAGAAGCATGCTCTCCAGCCAGGCTACCAGCTTTTGAGACAGCAAGTCGCGTGTGGAGGGTTAATCTCAGGGACGGCGGGGTTGGAGCAGGAGCTCTGAAGACAAGGGACAGCTTTGGGTGGCAGAACTGGGGCGTATTCTGCTGGTATTGCATGGAGAGCTTGCCTGGTTTCCATAGGCATCGCTTCAGACTCTGCTTGTAGTGCCCTTAGGGGAGTCAAGGTAATTGGAGCAGATTTGTGGATGCTGGATAAATTGCTCTTTTAGCATCAAATAGCTCTTACCAAAACCTAGTAATAACATAGATGCTAAATTTGCAGAGATTTATGTGGTGTTCAAGGGACTGTGTTAGATGTAACATCATTTGGAGATTTAGTGGTCTCTGGGGTAGGCGGGGGGGGAATCTGTTAGGGCGTTTAAAATGTGTTTTAAAATACATATGATGCTTCAGTAAACAATTAAATGAGAATGTATGGAAGAGCATGATAAGGACTTCTCTGCCACTTAGATCTGCTTAGTTTTGACTAGTTGCAGATCTCGGTGTAAAAGGGAGCAATTTACTCCTTGAACAGGACTTTCCTCAAGTCTAGCTAACGGTGAAGCCTAGAAATGCCGTTTGCTAGAAGTAAAGGAGCAGTGAGTATAGAGGAGGAGTGTGCAGAGCTGCAAACAGTGGTTTTTTTGAAACATGCTGAGAAAATACTCATTTTCTTCCTCTCTCGTAGGTGTGCCATTATCCACGCAGTGGGGCCCTCAAGGCTATTTCTACCCCATCCAGATTGCACAGTATGGGTTGAGTCACTACAGTAAAAACCTGACGGAGAAACCACCTCACATCGAGGTGTACGAAACGGCCGAAGAGAAGGACAAAACCAGCAGGTCCGTGGACTGGACGGTGCCGAAAGGCTGCTCTCTCTCCACGGTATCTGATAAAGCCAAGTTCACTAGCGTCAAACACTTTGTTGCTCCAGGTGGGTTATCCTAAATGTGTGGCAGCTAAGCTGTGTCTGTTAATTTGCCCAGATGGTACCAGGGGACCTTTAACTTGCTGGGATTAGTGTGTTTTCATTTATCCTGAGTGACTTCCCGTCCTTAAGATCTCACCTGAGAATGTCATCTCATTTCTGTACCTCTGGAGTTTCTCTTTCCTTCTGTTTTCTCACCGTCACTACTCTTTTCAGCACTGTTTTAATGAAAAAACGGGTGAGCGTATGCATGGAGGGCAATGAGAAGCTACAGTCACATTTCCTGAGCCTTTCAGCTTCTGTCTCAAAATAGAAGCAAAAAAAAAAAAAAAAAAAAGATGGAAGCAGTTGCAAAGCCTGGGAAATAGCGCTGACGTGTGATAAGCAGTTGTTGACAGATGATAGATAAGGTCTATTTTCAGCCTGGAGCAAGCATAGCATGTGCGGCTCTCCGGTTGGACCCGGGATCTCTCCCTTCGTTGGGATGCAACTGTTTTTGCAGAATTTGAGATCTTAGTTCTGGTTAACCTGAGTTGCCTTAAAGAAGGCTGCAAAAGGGAGCGTCTGCCCTTGTACTGCATAGGTATTTGTGGAGGACTCGGGGAGGATGGTGAAGATCTGGGGCTGCATACGGGCACTCCTTCACCTGCAAACATGCAAGACACATTTTGTTGCCGTCTCTTCAATTTACCATGTTCTGTTTCATGCTTAGCAGGGAAATTCATTATTTCATGCAAGAGTTTCCTTTACGCTAGGACAGGCTCATTAATAAGGACGTAATGTATTTTTCCTCAATCAATACCCATTAGAATTAATGAGTCCATTACTTAAAAAGACAATGAAGTAATTTTCAGTTGGCACCTTAGGCCTGGGTCTCTAGGGAAAAAATTGTCGAACACTCTTGTGTCTTTGTAGTAGATAAATACGGGGAGAGGAAGGGCTAAAAGATCTGTTCTGTATTCTCTCCTCATCCTTTATTGATGGTAGAGTAATCTGTGGGGCTCGAAGGCCATGGTATGCATCCACTCGTCTTAGATGGCCTTAAGTAATGGATTTATAGGCGCTTAAGGCAGTGCAAACAACGGGCAGCCTTTAGTTCTCCTTCGCTTCTTAAAACTTTTTTTTCCCCCCTCTATTATAATTCACTTCGTTATCACACAAGCATTTATTTACAAGGAACCATAAAACTTACTTGACAGGGCTTGCGAGTGGGGTTTTTTAATTAGATTTTTCAGAGGAGCAAAATGTTGTGTAACAAAGTGCTTGGCGGCTTCTCCCGAAGCAGATACTGATCTCCAAAAACTCAAAGGAGAGAAGCTCTTAGTTTTGGAGATTGGAAAACATGACATTCAGTCAAAATAATAGGTACTGTACGATAGCACCTTGCAACACAAGACATTGCAAAATGCCACGGATTGGTTTGGGAGCTGGGGAGAAGCCTCTGCTCTGCCGAAAAAGCTGACCGTAACTCGATGGTTGCACCTAGAAACGTTTATGGGGTATTTCACGCATCGAGAAGTAGCAGAAAGGAAACAAGTGCCTCGTGCGGCATAGAGTTTTATTCTATGGAAAGCCGTTAATTTAAGATGACTGTCTTTAAGTGTTTATCATCCCTCTGTGCCTTCAAAGCTACGGGATTTGCACACAGCCTTACAAACTAATTAGCCCTTTGATCTTTTTGTATAGGTTTTTGGGGAGAAGTTGATTTTACATTTTAAAATCTAGCCTGCCAAAGAACACTGGATTTTATTATGTGGCATTGCCTAGGAGCTTTATTTAAATTTTTTTTTAATTAAACTGAGTTTTTGCCAAAGGAGAGGTTAATAAATACTTTAACACGTTAGTCTTGCTATATTCTTTTCTCCCCACGCCTCCCCCCCCCCAAACTAATCAGCACACTGGTTTTGGGAACTGTCAGGTTGGGAAAGAGGAAAGTCGCAGATTTAAGTATTAGTCCTGGGGGATCCTAAATACCTAAAGTGCTTCTCGGCACTCCCAGCTTTTTTTTGCTGAAAGCAGAGCTTTATTCAGAAATGCGACTCCTCAAGCGGCGCCGCGTTTTTGGTGTCTTTTTCTGCCAAGCGAAATTTTCCGTTTGGAACAAAAGGGTGGTTGTTGGTTTATGTTTTGAATTACAGAAGAGGAAAACCACGCAGCATCTACGTTCTTGCAGCTTTTGGCTGCCGTGTCCCATCCTGTAGGAAAAGTTCAGCTCTGCCTCTTTGGTGTCCTGCCGGCAGGCAGCTGTAAGGCCCCCCCACTGCCAGCCCTTTCCCTTACCCCAGCTCCTGCTGGTGTCCGTCGCACTCCTCCATCGATCACGTACCAGAAACATCTGATAAATCCATCGATCCAGCCCCTGGCACTTCTGCTCCCCAGCAAAGTGCTGCAGCGTGTTAATGTAAGATGCAAACGAGTTCTCCCCGGTGCTGCAGGAGCCGGGCCTTTCCTCGTGGATTTACTTTCATGCTTAATTAATATATGATAGTGCGCAGAAAGAATGATTGAATTATTGATGGGCTGCCCTAAAAGCTTTTGGATCCTGCCTGGTAAGAGGGGTTACCTCTGGAAGCTGTGCTTTATAGCTTAAACTTTTTCGAGAAATGAGTGCTTTACCACTGAACAAGGCTTTTTTGGTTTGTTTTGCAGAAAATACCGAGGGGGTATCTCTGCAGCTTGGGAACAGCCGAGATTTTATTATTTCATTTGATCTCAAATTCGTCACGAACGGGAGCATTTCTGTGGTTCTGGAGACGACAGAGAAGAACCAGCTTTTCACCGTGCACTACGTCTCCAACACCCAGCTCATCGCTTTTAAGGACCGAGACATCTACTACGGCATCGGTCCCAGGACTAGCTGGAGCACCCTCACCAGAGACCTGGTGACCGACCTGCGGAAAGGCGTCGGCCTCTCGAACACAAAAGCTGTGAAGCAGACCAAAATCATGCCCAAAAGAGTGGTGAGGCTGATAGCGAAGGGAAGAGGCTTCCTCGATAACGTCACCATCTCGGCCACCGCTCACATGGCGGCTTTTTTTGCTGCCAGCAACTGGCTGGTGAGGAACCAGGACGAGAGGGGCGGCTGGCCCATCATGGTGACGAGGAAGCTGGGGGAAGGCTTTAAGTCCTTGGACCCGGGCTGGTACTCGGCCATGGCACAAGGACAGGCCATCTCGACGCTGGTGCGGGCGTACCTGCTGACGAAGGACCACGTGTTCCTCAGCTCGGCCCTGCGGGCGACGGCACCGTACAAGCTGCCATCGGAGCAGCGTGGGGTGAAAGCCGTCTTCATGAACCGGCACGACTGGTATGAGGAATACCCGACCTCGCCCAGCTCCTTTGTGCTTAATGGTTTCATGTACTCCTTAATCGGGCTGTATGACTTAAAAGAAACAGCTGGGGAGAAGCTGGGGAAGGAGGCGCGGGTCCTCTACGAGCGGGGCATGGAGTCCCTGAAGGCCATGCTTCCCCTCTATGACACCGGCTCAGGGACCATCTACGACCTTCGGCACTTCATGCTCGGCACTGCTCCCAACCTGGCCCGATGGGACTATCACACCACCCACATCAACCAGCTCCAGCTCCTCAGCACGATAGATGAGTCCCCCATCTTCAAAGAGTTCGTCAAGAGGTGGAAGAGCTACCTGCGAGGCGGCCGGGCAAAGCACAACTAGAGCTTACAACCAAACCCCTCGGTCCTGCTGCCTCCCAGAGGTACAGCTTCAAAGGTTGCATCCTAAATTTTTTATGGACTGTTTCAAAGAAGTGATCCTTAAAACTGATCTCCTGAAATCATTGCATTCCAGTGTGAAAACATTTGGGTCTGATGGGTAGGGTTCGGGAACTTCACCTGTCCTTAGTGCTCCACATCTGCACAAAGCAAAACCCCTTTGTGCTCCTGAGTTTGGGGACTTTTTTTTGGGTTTGCTTTTTTTTTTTTCCTTTTTGTAGGAAAATATTTGCAGAAGCCATACAGGTCTCTAAAGTCCAGCACTTGCCTGAAAAGTTAGTCTGTGGCCTCTTTTAAAATGGAGTTACATGTGTATATGTTGGAACAGCGTAACAGATCATGTGATATAACGCCGTAAATGTGTATTTACTTGTAGCCTGGATAGTGGACAGTGTATCTTTTTAAAGGTTTTGTGTTTTTGGGGTTTTTTTTTAATACGGATTCTTTTCTTGGGGTGAAAAATACACTTTTTTTTTCTCTTTTTTCCGATTCTCTGTGTGGAGATCCTTTAGCTGTATGGTTTCTTTACAGACGTGTGGACAGAGAACACGCAGACAGCGTGCAGGCTTCGAAGTCTCGTCATGTAAGCACAACTCGGTGGGGCTCACGGACTGCACAAAGCCTGCAACCACGCCACCCCCTTTTTATAAAGCCAAATTTACCATCGCCCATCAGGTTTGCTGGTGTCATCTCCTCCCTGGTAGCTGGAATCTCTTGTCGTGGAGCTTGATGTTTTGTCTACTGTATTTTTTAATTACATCTGAGAGGTTTCTCTAAGCTTTGGCAACTTCCTTCTTGGGAGACGTGTCTTGAATTCCTGAGCGTGCCATGGAGCTCGTTTTGAGTAGTGCGCAGGAAATTCAATTGGAATTAAGGTTTTCCTATAGCGATTTTAATTTTTAACTTGCTTGACTATGTCAAGCATTTTAAAAATTAAAATTGCCCCAGAGGGCTTTCCAGCTCCACCTGTGCTTTAATACCAAGTCTCACCTCTGCCTACTGTCTTTCTCATAGTGTAAGGGGTCATTACATCTCCAGTACTGGCTTCTTGGGTGGGCTTTGTCTTCATGGCTCTGCCAAGCGAGCAAGGGTAGCCGTGCAATAACCGAACACGTGCATCTGAACCCAAATGCTTTCACTGTACCGTTGTAATGCAGAAGAAACCAAGTGGTTTCTTTTTCTTATTTATCAGTCCTTTACACTCACCGTTAGTCTGCCTTCTTGGCATGTAGCATCCTGGTTGATCCAGAAGAGTAAAACCAACTGATTACATCATTAGATGAGGGGTGTTTTGTTTGGTAGCGTAGCAAATATTGGGTTCTCAGCTGTGTTGGCATGCTGGTGCCTGCTGTAAGAGTCCCAGACTCAAAAGCTCCTGACGTATGCCGGCATGGGAAGGACATGTATTAGCTTTGGGTTTTTTCCCACTGATCCTATCACATGTTGTACATGTAGGTGGGGGTTAAGCTTAAGATGTTCAGACTGAGGGCGAAGTTCATTCAGATCACAAAAAGGCTGGGCACGAGGACAATATACATCTTTTGATCTTTTTTTTTCTTTATTTTTTTTAATGCTTCTTCTATTTCTTGCAGGTATTTGAAACAACTTTTTAATTACTTGATCTTTGCAAATACAAACTACGATCATATCAATTAATATGAGAAGTGGATGTCAGAGGAGAAATTTCAATACCAAAGGTAGCAGAGGTGAATTTTTTTTTTTACGTACATGTGTATGCACGCACACACACACAAAACGCAGAAAAATGTGCTTCCTTTACAAACAACTGGTCCTTACTGCAAACACAAAAACATCTTTCTCCTGCATGTTTCCTCCATCTTTTGCCCATTTTGGATTTGGAGAATCTAAAGAGAGTCTTTGGGTACTGCTCAAGAGGTGGTATCGGTGCCTTACGGAGGCCACAATCTCCTCTGTTATTTTTTTTGTTTTGTTTTTTAATCAATGCTAGTTGAAAAATTGCAGTGTCGCTGATCTTTCAGTGCTTCGTGAGAGTCAGCCTGGCAGCTGTTGGATAGGTGAGCTCAGAGGCGCAGGTTGGCTATGCCAACGCCGTCGGTCCTGTCGCATCACCTTATCCTTACCGTCATTGCGTTTTTGTTGGCCTTAGCACACGCGTAACTTCCACCAACCACCATCAGAGGTTGTAGAACTGAAGAGAGTTAGTGTGGGGTTTACTCTTTCTATTTGAGTTGTGCAGTGGAAGAGGATTATTGGACGTTGGTGCCCATAACTTTGTCGAATTCACTTAAGTTGGAGGTTTTTTTGTTTGTTTTCAGTTTCAAACTGACAAAGGTCTTAGGGACTAAGATCTGTTTAATCTTTCCATGGGACTTACTGTACATAGACTTCATTGGAAACATAGTGCGCATGGGTATATGCAAACCAGTGACACACAAGCACAACTGTACAAGTGTGGCAGTGCTGTTTTTCTTGGCCATTGTGCAAGACATTCACTAAAAGCTGCTATTTTCATTCACCTTGTAATTGTACTTTATTTTTTCTATATTTTTTTTTTTTTTACATATGGGATATACACCATGTGTTAAATATGCAATAAATTGTTTACAGGATGCTCTTGTAAAGGGTAGTCCTTTGTAAAGCTGTACAGACTTTGCAGTTTAAGCACAATGTGCACATGTTAGTTTTATATACAGCAAGACATGACTTTTTGCAGCGGGAAAGGTTCTACTATGTTTATATACAAAGTAAATGGATCAACGTTTGTGCTTAATGTAAAGCTGCTTTCTAAGACTGTAAAATAAATTTTTTTATCTTGAGACAAACATGGGGCATCTTCATTATTTCAGCTGTGGTTGCAGATGAGCCCTGATGAGCAGTCATCTTAGTGGCTTTGAGATGTCTCCTTTTAGGGTCTTCTGGAAGGTTTTTATTCAAAGTAAGGTGGAAAACGTTCTTTCTTCAGCAGTTGAGAGTTCGCTGATTGGAGGTAAGGACCACAGATCTGTATTCTCTCTCTGCTCAAGTAAAGTTCATGCAGTGTGTTGCTGGTGTGAGTTACTTCTGCTAAATGCATCTCGTTTTGAGTTTCTGTGATTTTTGTTAAATAGGAATTTTAACTGACTGGTCACTAAAAAATATCCTGACAGAGATGACAAGTGGTCAGCTGAGGTTGCCCGTAATGTGCAAGAAGCACACTGCGCCTTTAATTCCTGTTTTCAGCTAAAAATGTGCAAGTCCTATCAAAATTCCCTTCCAAAATTGGGAGTGAGGTCAGCTCTGTCTTAGCCACTCCATGCCTGGAGTGATGGGTCCCACCTTGGTGCAGAAGGGCTGTTAAATCAGAGCTGGTCGATGGAAAGTTGGTGCCTCCTTGGCTGTCAACGTGACCTGCACCAGGATGCCACGTTTGACTTGGTCATGAATAATTTTGCATGACTGAAGTGCACAGAGCAAATCTTCTGCAGCCGAGCAGAGCTTCAGGACTGTCTCCCAACCGCTTGGGTGAAAATATTGATTTTCATTACTTAGCAGTTTGTTAAAAACGTATGAATTGAAAATAGAAGTGGATTGAAATATGTTGTCTTGGTGATGAATTTGAGTGTTTGCTGCTCAGTTTGTGGTGGAAGGAGATACATTTACCATCTGCCTGGAGTGACTGATAACTCCCTTGTATGCGTTGCACTTCCCGAATGTTAAATAGCTGCTTCTATACTTTACTAATCTCTTCCAAAAACGGCAGGAGCTATTTAAATGCCAAGCGCTCAGCGTTTCAGCCTATTAAACAAGGTGGAGTTTTGCAATGGTGCAGTGCAAATGTTGAAAGACATCCTGGCACTCACCGACTTGAATCTTTAGGACAGTAAATATTTTAAGAGCTCATCTTGTTGAATTTGTATCTCGCAGCAACTTGCCGAGTAGCTCTCATTGGGTTGAACTGAAGATTAACAGGACGGAGCGCCTTGTGCCACTGTTGCTGTCCCTCAGGAGGCAGAGCCACCCCCCAGGTCCGGCATTGCTGAAGTGTAAAATACGTGATGGCTCATCACGGCAAAGTCTGGTGGGAAGAAACCGGAGTATTGGCCTGGCCTCAAGCGCTTGAGGTTCTGCTCGTGCCCTCGGCGTGTGCAGATGCCGGTACCAGGTCGTGCTCATGGAGGTGGTGAAGGTGAGGTGTCTCTCTGTTGGTTTTTAGGTTTGTTTTGTTTTTCCCTCCAAGGCCAGGCTAGATTAATTGTATTTTCTGGTGAGGAAAATGCCCCATGTACAGCCTCCCTTCTGCACCATCGTGCCGGGGCTCCATCCCTCACCCCGTGTGCCTCCTGGCCCCCCTCGACCAGCAGAAGTGCTATTCTAAAGAGTTGTCCTTGTTTATAAGCCCAGGCTGATTGCCTTTCTGAGCTTAAGTGATGCCACTGCCTTCAGGCGCTCCCTTCTAAACGGATTCATCATGCTTTAGTGGCTTTCTGTCACCCTGACGAGGAAAGAGGAGAGACAGCGCTGATGCACAGAGCAGCTTCCCCCCACAGCAGGGCTCCGGCGAAGGAGGCGGCAGCTTTTTTACTTGCACTGGAGACACAAACGATGCGCGGACGCATTTCCCAGGCCCAGGTGCTTGTTTGCCACAGAAATCTTGGCTGAACCTTTCTGAGTGTGAAAAGAGGCTTCGAGGATGCTCAGGAAGAGGCTCGTTGTGCAGGCGCCTGCGCCTGCTGGGGATGCTGCGAGGGCCTCGGGGTTGGGTGGGCACAGGCACGGGTGTGCTTGGGGCTGGCTGCATCCCACGGCAGTGCCGTGTGGGACCCCGCTCTGCTCCCCCCCAGCACCCCAACCCCTCTGGAGGGACCCTGCAGGCGCTGCCCCTGGGCCAGCCGTTTCCTCCCTTCCCTGCTGTTTTCCAGGTGGGACACCAAACCGCCCTTTGCACGGTGCCTGCTAAGGTGCCAAATCAGCCAGGGCCGCCCC